TTGGGCTGTGTACTTTTGTTACCTGAGGTTCTACAGATGGAACCGAGAATTGACAACGGTAAAATTCAGAATTACCAAGATGATTCACCCCAAGTCAGGAAGCATAATAAACGCCAACTATAATGTATAGTGACAGCTAACACTGGCAACGAACTACAGTTAACCCGAGTTAAACTTAACATGAAGGTCTGTATACAAACTCAGTATTGTAGTTCAATGTATATACATTGTATTCTTTCATGTTGTGTATAATACACAGCCTTAGAGAATACACAAGCTTTTGTACAGAGTACAGTACGTGGTTCATGAACCAACCCTTACGAGATCCTCTGCACCTGCGAGTTATGGCACTCAGTTGTGTGATTATGACTGCAGTTCAGCCATCTGAGGTCAGTCATACCATCACAGAAAGACAATGCATAAACTCGAGGCCGCCAAGCGAGACTTATAGCTTTTCTCTTCTTTTCCCCGACGAGGTTGACTTCTGTCTATCATTTTCCAGTCATTTAAAACTGCACAAGTTATGGATATTCAAGTCGGCAGAGTCAGCCATCTAAATGTGGCGTCTCCAATCTTGCAGAAGCAAGATCTCTCTCTCTCTCTCTCTCTCACTGCAGCTCGATATTATTCCCAATTGGCGCTCCTCTAAATATGGCGACACTGCGAGAGCAATCGATGAGCTGACTCCGTTCACACCAAAGTTAGAGCTGCCATGTGCAGCAGTGTGGAGCGCAGGTTTTTCCTCGTCACCATAAGCAGCAACTGGTGAGTGACAATCATCAGCTCCAAGGATCGGATGGATGCCTCTGACGAGCTTTGGTTAGCGATCCGCCAGAGCAGCTGATTTTACTCGAGACCGCCAGATCAGCTCACTAAATTAGCAACCTCAGCATCTGCTGCAAATAGTTGTAACGTAATTCTTAATCTCGTAATTTTAATATCGTCAAAGGGAGGTCACACACTCCATTGAAGTACCAGCTACCTTCAGTCCTTCAGTCCACCATCGTTGACCATCACAGCCTCACAAACAGAATGAAGTCAACGGGGCTCAAACGTAGTTAGCTGAACTGGGTTCTCTGAGCTGTTTCGTTGACAATCGGCCTTTGGACTATGTGTGACAAGTCAACTCGACAGCGGTTGCAGGTATGTGTGTCATAACGCCCGTTAGTTGATCAATACGGGTGAAAATGGATTTTCTTCTTTCTCAGTTTTTCTGCTCGGAACAGATTCCCCAGACGATACTCTCTTTCATTATGATGGTCCATTTGTGCCCCACCTTATGATGAATATGAGTGATGTTTCAATGCATTCTCCTCAATCTTCTACTCTAGCAGATGTCACCGTGGGCTCAAAATTATTCACCTCCGCAGATTTATTGTGATCTCCAAGTGTTTTTACAAAGGTAGCCTCAAAGAGTGAAACCACGAGTGACACCACTGATATAGGAAAAAGATTGAAAACATCACCATCAATCTCGCATGGGTGGAAAATAATGGAAAATATTTAAGAGGAAAGCGTCACCATTTTCTTTCCTTTCCCTTCTCAAGATGAAAATTTTTAAATATACGAAATGCTATTGTTCTTTTGAGATTTTTAACCAAAAGTTATTCGTTAGTCTAATATGTTAGACTTCTGCTAAAGTTTGGAATTCTTTATATCAAGCAGTTTACAATAAACTGGAACATTATTTCTAATTATAGCACAGTGCTTTCATATTATAGCACAGTCCAGTGCTCTATGTTAAGAAAGATATAAAAAATATAGCTTGAAATAGACTATAAAATACATTAAAGAGATTTTTTTTCAAAAACTATAATAGGCGGATCAGCATTCTCAAAAGAATAATGTACAGTAAGTAGCAACCTATAACTCCATTTAATCTAAAGGCTAGGCTTCCAACCAAACAACTTCCCACTTTCCATCATAGTTGAAAATTTTGGTGATTTTTTCTCAACTCTTTGCATGTTAAAAAGATTATGAAAATCATTACTTGATCATTATGATATAAAAATCATCACATTTGCAGCAATAATCTTACTATGAATTTTTATTGATCTAATAGAGCTCAAAGCATAACAACTCCTCTTGGAAAACACTCCGTTGAAAATGATACAAGCTCTAGTGAGTTTTATGAAAAAACCATTTTGATACTTTTCCATATAAAATAATACAAGAGTTAAATATAATGATGTAGTCATAGATTATAAAGTGTATGTGCCAGTTGTTGCAACCTAATGCATGAACTAGGAATTATGCATGAGACTCTTTCATGGATTGATGATGCAACCTATAATAGGATTTATAAAAAATTTAAAATAAATTTGTGTGAATAAATTATTGATTCATCAAGCATCAAGCATCAAGTTATACTTTAAATCTAAAATGCAATCTTTGTACAGAGAAAAAACCAAAGCAAACCTAATTTCTTTACTCTCATACTCAATTATAATTAGTTAGAGTTGCATGCTAAAAATGATACGGGTTTTAATAATTCATGTATTTACATTGAATAAAAACATCTAAAAAGTGATCTCATCTGCAGTTTATAAGCCAAAAAAGGTGAACAGATGTCTAAAGTAGTCCAAACTGCTATGAAATTTATCCTGACGATCACCAATAAGTTTTATTTGCACATACAATTGTCAACAATAATGTCCCAATGTCAATTTTTTCATCACAATTGCTCATAATATTGTAACTCAATATTGATAGTAATATGTTGTCTATTGATGCTCTAGCAAAGGTAGTAGAAGAAGACAAAGAAGCAGGAAATAACTTTTAAGACGCAAAATAAGATTAGTGTTACATAAAATCCATTGACTTAGAAATTGAATATTTATCAATGGGAAAAAAATTCTGCTATAGTTCAGCTAAAAGTTGACAATTTGGATCTTAGAATAAAATTATATTTTTATGTAAATAAATTACTATATACAGAGACAACATTTTTTTACAAAGAAGTTTTACACACTATCTATTATAAACTTTCAATATCTGATTGTATGAAATAAAGAAGCTAATACCATGAAAATATAGCGCACGTATTTATCAAATTTATCTGAGAGTTTCAGGTTTCTCATATTTGTAATTTTGTTATTTATTATTCAGATATTACTCTCGGTGCATTTACCAACTTCCATGACTCCAAACTTGTACTTAATATTCACTTCACAGTAACTTGAAGATGTGATGCCTTTATGCGCAATGTTCTAAAATCACAAGAAAAGTACGAGGCATGAATAAAATCCTCTTGCCAACGACAGAGCCGAGCATCCTGTGGATGGAGTAAGCAGGCAACTAACTATCCAGAGAAGGCCTGAGGCCCACTTGTCTGCACTACTCAAATTAAGCCCGATTCTCTGTTGGTATCTTGCAGAAAGATTGATACATCCCACTTATCATTAACTTCGCAAGGATAAGTTCTCGAGATGACAATCAGTCCAGCATCACCACTTATGATTAGAGTCAGCTTCACATCACAATAGCAAAATCAAGCTCCTTTGTCCACTCTGAGCATGCCATTAAACTTAAACGCAGCTTCTAATACGAGATCATTTTGCAATGACCTGAATCAAGTAAAGCCAAACTGTCATGGCCCGTGATCTCGTGGATTCTTGTCTATCTTCTGGATCATTTATAAATTTATACAGTTGTAGCCTCAGTAGGTCCTTTTAATCTTTTAATTCCATGCTTGTGATCATACGCAAGATCCCTCGCTAAGAACAAGAGGAAGCCTCTTAGCTCTGGAGATAAGTGTCGGCGGTAAATAAGCGAAGGAGAGCCCACCATCGAATTTGAACGATTCCGCTATTTTAGCCGGACTGAAGCAGCAGGAACGACTAGCGCTCACTGTCAGATTTAACCACGGTGAAGCCGGGCTCGCGGGAACATCGAACAAGGACAACAGGGGGTACCTCTCGCGGTACAGGAACATCCGCATGGCGGTACAGGAACATCCGCATGGAGCCTGGCGCGCGGTGAAAAGGTCCGGGAATGGGGATGAGAGGGTGAATGGGAATTCACTCCGGGGGCTGCCTTTACCCAGGGGCTGGGGTTCTGAGGACGCCGGGGGTGGGGGGTGGGGCTGGGGCTCTGAACTGCGGGCCGTGGCAGGCGGGCAGGCGGGGTTGGATTGCGGCTGGGGGGTTATGGATGGAGGGACGACGAGTGTGGCGCACGGAAAGGGATTCGGAAATGCGGAGCCCCGGAGCAGCCCCGATCGGGATCCACGATGGCATGCCGGGAATTGAAGGAGGAAGGGAAGGTGGGAGTCATATTTGCGGGGGCTTTGATGGGGAAGATCGGAGTGACATGAAGAGAGGAGATGTATCGAGTGTCGTCTAGGTTCATGATCTTACGTCGAGGGGGCTGGGGGTGGAGAACGAGTTAAGCACCCTTGGGCTAAAGTCGTAGTGCTTAAAGGACGACCTGACAGTTGAAAGATGGGGTCAACGTGGACAGTAAATGAGCCGGTGCAGATGTCAGAGCTGGGGAAGTGCAAGGCGGTGAGCTCCGCGGGGGCCTTCAATGCTCGCAATGTGAGCCAGCGTGCTCAGTACTCGCGGGCTTGCCATCCGGGGCTTGAGAGGCGACGAGTCCAGCTTTTTCCAGCTTTTCTAAGCCCCGACGACGACGCCTTTGACCCCCCGTCGCCCTATATCCGTCGCAGTTTTACCCCCCGATATCGCCCCCTTTGCGGTCCCCAATGTGGAAGCCCCTTCCGACCCGCCTCATCCCTCGCCCGGTAACTCACCGGCGATCTTCGCCGGTCAGTCCCTCGGCCGCCTGCGTTTATGGACGTACCAAATCCGGAGCCGTACCGAATTCGCGATTCGGTCTCCGCGTCTGCTAACTTACTGACGACCGGCGGAGTGTCCGGTGCCCGGTAAAGTGCCAAGCCCACCCCCAAGCCCAAGCCCAAGCCCACCCCCAAGCCCAGGCCCAGGCCCCGGGCCTTGACCATACTTAATACCCCTGAGGAATCTCGGAGCCAGTGTGAGCTGCAATCAGAGCTTCAGTTTCCAGCCCCGACGACGGTCGTCAGCCTTAGGACTAGTGTTGTTTGAAAGGGTGCGGATCGATTCCCTGTTTTGTGCAACGTAGTAAGACCTGGGGAGGTGTTGTTGGAGTGTAATATTGTGGTGGCAGAAGAGGACGACTCTCATGACTGCGTAGATCTGCACCCGGTCAGCTACCACTCCTCCACATTGGTCTAGACTCTGCAGCCCCCCTCTCTCGAGTGTTTCTGGCTTTCCTCTGAAATTTCAACTCTTTTCTTGTCTCCTGCCTGACGACGACCTTCCCTGCAGCTCACCAAATCTCCCCTCCCAGTCCCGTCTCCCCTGCTGCACGTGTGCGCATCTCGTTCTCTCTCTTGTGTGTTTGTGTGCTTCTGCGAGTTCGAGCTCCGCTCTGCTCGCAGCCATCTATCTGTCGTCCGAGTAGCTTAGATATGCAAAGCAAGCCTTTTGTGCAACTGCCTGCGTTTCTCAGTGTTTCCCCGCTCAGACGTGCTGTGAATGCCGAAGCCAGCCGCAAGCTCGTGTGGTTTTCTCGCGTCTTCCGTGTGTCGGACCCAGCTCAAGGAGTGTCGTGGCTCATACCTGTGGCGTTCGAGGTGAAGTGCTAGGAATGTCGAGGTTCGAAGTGGGCAGGGGACTTCCCGGTGGACAGGCGCAGGAATGAGCTCTGGAAATTTTATCAAGTAGTGTAGCTCTCGCTCGTTCGGTAGCAGCTCATCATCTCCAGCACGAAGTGCATCGAAGCGTTTCGAGGACTCCTCTGGTGAGGCGAAGGCCAAGGCACAGGTCTGAACACTTTATTGTGTCGAGGAGTATTCCGACTCTCTGAGCTTTTGGCCCGTCTCACGAACTGCGCAGGAGCTATGGTTAGGAAAAAATTCTTCTCGTCCTCGGCGGGTCCGAAGGTGGCGAAGAGCCCGGAGATACAAATGGTGTACAAGAGCGCCGCCGAGAGCTCCATTCTGTCGGGGGCATCGTCATCTCGCCGTCAGTACGAGCGAGTGGGCACCAGCCCGGGGCATTCCGAGCCCAGTGGACAAAAGGCCCAGAAGACATTGAAGCTGGGTGGCAACATCGCCGGCAGAGTGTGTCGAAATCGTGTAGTGAGGCTGCACTGCCTTCTGAGAGCTCCTTGCAATTTAGTGCACAGGATGAAGGAGCATTATTCCAACTTGAAGGAGCAGGCACGCACGACGAATTTCAAAGTCAGCGACTTGTTTGCTGGGAATCAACTCCTCATGCACGTCAATGCCGCCCCCGTGAGAGGTCGTAGGAAATCACTCAAGCCCTCGGAAGGTTTCGTGAACAGAGTCAGAGCACCCGTGGGACAACGAGAGATGAGAGAGAGATAACATTCGTAAGAGCTTCTCTCGTCGTTCACTTTCTGGCTTACCAGCTTACTATTTGTTCTTCCTCGATCCATTCAGCACTGTAGGTCGGTCAGTCCACCATGGATCCTATGATTGTCTTGCGCTACATGATTTACAGAGTCAGCAATGCTGGTGTCCTTCGAAACCAGCGCCCCATTTCGCAGCAACTGTACATCCTGATGTCCTATCGAATATTGCTGGGTTTGTATCATAAGAGGACTTTTAGCTCGCTACGTAGAGATGCAACGGTGTCTTCTTCCATCCTTTGATGTCATCTGTAAATAAAGGCCCAAGGCAGCAACCTCAATTGCCTGTACTATTCAACATGTAGCGAGCGTGCATGTCGACGCCTCGTCGATGCACTTGTGGATGAGAAAATGATTCATGCAGTGCTTTTTTCACAGATTTGGACTTTGAACAGATTTGATCGTGGTCACTCAGATTCGGAGTGATAAAATGTCCACAGGTTTTCTGGTCTGATTTTCAACAATAAGGTTTGTACTGCATCTGGAATCTGATCTGACAGGGAAGCGGATCCAAAATCATGCTTGTAGATAATGGGGATCGTCCAGGTTCCCATGTCTTCGAGGAGGGGCAGAATGTTGGACAGACTTCTTAATCTCTGGATTTCTGGTTACTTCAGATTGTCGACGGCTGCTGGCAGTCCACATATTCGAGTTGACTGCTCGACGAGGTTGCCGGAATTTAAAATCATGTTGCACAGGAGTCGACGCCGCACCAATTCGTTATGGTCTTTGCCGGTTGCATGTTTGTTGACGTAACACTCCTTGTCGTCGTTGTGCGCACTGTTCGACAAGCTCTTCACATGCTGTCGCTTATTGTTATTAATTTTCTACTAGAATGTGATTTTCTTCGGATTCAATCATCAGTACAGTAGTTCGATGTCATCTTGACACGATCGGTTGGTAGTAGTGAAGAGTTACAGCCAAAACATTCACTCTATGACCAGCTGGTTGCTGTCATTCTGAATTCCTTCATTACTGCCTAGCGTGTACCTCGCTCGCAGCTGGCCATTATGATCAGGCTACCGGTTTTGCACCTAGCCCACAACCTTGTCACTATCTGATGAGACAAACGCATTCAATACAGAGGGTAGACCTCCCTCATAGCACTGCCTGCTCACGACAGTAGACCGAACTTGCCCTTAGCATCCTCGTTATGAGGCTTCACGAAGCAAGGATTGTGCTATCGAAAAGCTCCCAGCTCAAGGTTTCTTGCTCACAGGCCTGTGAATGGTAGAAATCCAGTCAACTGCCCAGAAGCTCTCATAACTCGGGGTGACGGTTACGGAAAGGACCTAGTGTTTGGAGAATCAAAGTAGCTTTTGCAAAAGCTCTACGTGAATGCTCCACTTTCCCGAGTTACTCGGTTGTGCGTACTGGTAGAAGACCCCACTATGAAAAGACGAGCATGTCTTTTTCAACTTACTGGAGTTCGAAAGAAATTGACCTGAGAGGTGAATATGCATGGGAAGCATGGTTCTACTGTTCCTCACACTGGGAGCTCTCCATCGCGTGGACCGTAACCAACGCGCTTCAAGCTGCAAGAGGATACGAAACATCAATCCCTCGGTATTTGACTTAGTAGTAGCTTCAGAGACTCCCGAGTTTCAGGTCTGTACGATCTTGTGGACGTGATCAGTGAAATCAGCCGACAGACATTCGCATTTGCTTCCATGTGACAGTAATCAGTCAGCTAAATAAAGGAAGATGGAAACTCGTTTCAGGCTGCCCGTGGTTTAAGCACATGCACGACATGTCACTGATCTTCAGTTCAGGCATTATGATGTGTCAGTGTGGAATGCTCGAGGAAACATTGGTACCCAGAGGAATGAGATTAATAACATATACTTGGCGGTGCCTCGATGTGAGTCCCCAAACTTGAAGGGCAATCTACAAATGAAAGTGGATTAAAAGTGAGCCCAGGTTCCAATGGCATGCACCTTTGCTCTATAACCATAGATTCTAGTCCGTGCTATTATTCATGTTTCATGATTCATTGAGGGAGCCTGGCTCGGACAACGCGTGAGGATCCACCGCAGTTGAGGCCATTTGCCAAAAGACAAAACTGCTAAATCAATGTTTCTGCTTTTTCCCTCAATGCACTATCATTATATATATCACTATTAATTTGTGGATGTTAGTGTGCATAGATTTGCTTCCTAGCAGAGCCACCTTTCACGACCCTTTGAATGATGTCGATTGAAAAGTACCTCATGCATGCTACAAATCTTTGTATTTGTTTCAATTGAGTGCAGCCGTGAGTTTGTTTTGTCTCGCATCCCCATCACCATGCCCTTCTATTTTAGTGAAATGGACACTAGTGACTCACACTTTGTGGTGATCTTGCAGATCTGACTTCTTAAAGACTAAAAGTGTGGAACATACCCATTTATCCACACCTTCTTCGCGTGGGTCATGGAAATTAAAAGGGAGGAACTTGACTTTGTGAGTGAAACAGCAATCAACATGGAAAAAACAAAACACGTGACAACTGAACTAACAGAGGAGAAAATCCCTGAAGGAACATGAGTTCATTTATGTAAAACTGCTATTAATTTATGGTAAAAAAATATCTTGATAAACCTCAGTTCTTGAAAGTTTACCTTATTTTCGTTTTATCCATAAGTCGTAGAACTGACTTAGTGCATAGAATTATCAAACATCAATGAATTTGAGAATCACAGCTTCGATAGTGGAAATGCATTTCAGCTGCATGTAGGATATGCTTAAACCATAAATATCAAAATTGTAGCATTTGAAAATGGTTTTCAAAAGCTAGAGGAACGCAAAATTTTGCCAAGGACCAACAATTATCACATTCAGGCACCTGGTTTGATACTAGCTCAAAATTCTAGGTGGAAAGTTGCGATCCATGCAGTATTCAGTATATAACGGAAAGTGTTTCCTTTTCAGTTGCCCTGTCATTGGGTTGACGAATACTGTATCCGAATTTTTTTTGTAAAGTCTCGATGGCCTTCGGTGCAACCAATAAAAGCTGTTTTTCATTTTGGTCCGTACTATTACACAACCCAGTGTAGCTTTAATGGATGTGCAGTTAACGGGGGTTCCAAGATAGACCCATAAAATAAAATTCCTGGCCTTATTTCATAAGCTTGGACTTTGAAATCTTTACAAAGTTCAACATGAACCATACGCTACGCAATGTAGCAAAATTATTGGACTGCATGGATTGGAAATGGGACGATGGGTCAGTATCGAAGATTCAGTATCAAACTACTAGAATCGATAATGGGTAAAATAGGATGAGTCGCCAGCACATCTTTCCTCAAACTGAACTACGTTCGTTTGAACTAGATTTAATCATTAATAGTAGTATGTTCATTATATTAAATTAAAAGAGGGGCTATTTATCCCTCACACCCTAAATTAACTCTATAGTTTGATGCATACTCATTATGTTCAAGAAATAAGCAGCAGAATAGTAAATGACCTCATTGAGAACTTATGCACTAGATGTCTTACTTATAAATACATTTGGATACTCTTTATTTGATATATATGTAGAGTGTATCATGTGAGTTAAGCGCATCACATGAGTCGCGAAATTCATATAATTAGTTCATTATCAATGTTTGAGTTGAAAGCAACACGAAAATGTACAATGGATAAAACTTAGGCTAGTATAACAGTTCTCTTATTCATGCAGCAGTTGGATTTAGCTATATTGTTACATAACGTGTCTCGAAATTTAATGAAGAATTAGCTGTTGAGAAACGCAGAGTCAACAGTATAAAGATAATGGTTGGTAGTCTGAGTCTCATAATTAATAAAGAGCTAACTTTTCCAAACCATTCCACATAAATCTTGATGTGCATACGAGAGAATGTTAACTTAACTTATGTTTTATGTTAATGTTATGTTTATGCTAATGTTAACTTATGTTTTATTAAGTAATGATTTGAATCAAGTATGTACATGTGCTGAAACATGTGAAGCTTGGTTTCATTCCGTAATTAATTTTTCAACTAATTTGTAAATGTGATTTATTTTCAAAGCTAGATGATTTGTAGTATCGATCCTGTTCAAATAAGATGACAAAAAAATCATGCTCTCCAAGAGGATAGAGGAGAATGAAGGATTGTCTACTTACACAATACGAGACAAGGTGCATGGAGGAATCAAATCCTCTCAAACTAAAGTGACATTCCTGCAGTTGGACCAAATCGTCAACGACGTTGAATGATGCGGAAACATATGATACATGTTACTATTGCTTTTCTTACGTGAGTTCAGATTTAGGGTCGTGGACCATACTTCAAAGCCTCCTTCCATCGAGAAGCTTCATCAGATGAGAATGTGACGCTTGTGGAAATTCGGATGGAAAGGTAGACCTTTGCGGCCCTCGCAGTAAATTGAGTTTCAAATTACACCATGCTAAAAAAAAGTTCAAGCATGCAAACATGGTCCCCTGTCACCTTTTGTCAACATGTCGGATTGCAAATCGCAAATCATGTCAGCCAAGCTGCAGTTTTTTGTTTCTGTGATCATGACTGACTCTTGACTTCGTTTGCTGAACACTTTTCCATCCAACTTGAAATTGATGTTGAAGATTACATGTGGGCCACCCCGATCATGATTCAGTTACTGACAAAAGTTCCACCGAAGTTATCGAGTGTGCGCTTCTTCCGAGTTTAGTGATATGCTAATCGGCCAATTATTTTAAGAAATCGTAGGTACTGAACTCCTCTGCTCTTATTCGTATGATTTATTACGACACATAGAAATTGGCGTACCTTACAAGCTAATGATCAGATTTATCAGGTTTTAAATTTGCATTAGTTTACTAGCATCGAGGGGCTCAAGAACGGAACCATGTGACTGCTTTCCTCCACTCAGCACCTCTCCTGCAGCCAAGATCATACAAAGTGCAGCCCTCCGTATTTCATGATTGTTTAACGGTGGCTCACGATAGAAAACAGAGTTTCCATCATACGTTTCAATTTGATTCTGAATTTAGATTTTATTTCGTAAGCGTTAATTGAGCTTTCTCATGGTGTGATGATATTCTCGAAAGTGAAACTGCAAGGATGTTGAGGCTTATTTGATTCAATATAAAATGTAATGCTCGGTCCTCTCGTCTGACTTGACTACTGTAGGTTTGTATAATTACCAGCAGAGCATCATGTAGTCCAGGTAGCTTGTACTCGTACCTCTACACAGTGCACCCACTCATGGCTAACCACTGGATTGAGGCTGAAGTTGTATCCGCAGTAAGGAAACCCGAGAGCAGATGAATGGTGAAGGCCAAAACACGGAGCAAAAATGATCTTCCATGACGAGGCACGCTCTAG